CACATTACTGGCAGGGGCTGCGGCAGGGCCAGGCAGGTCCTCGGTGTCCAGCACTGTTGCCCCCAAAGCCCGAGAGCTCACACCTCCCAGCCATTGCCTTTCACCTGCCCCATGGAGAAGGGAGATGAGCATGTTGAGCTTGAAGAGCACTGAGAAGCGAGGCCGGGCAGGCAGCCTCCAAGGGAGCCTTGCTCAGTGCTCATCTCAGAGAGAGCTCAGGTCCAACCAAAGGGAAGAAAAACAGGGGCTCTGCCAAGGCCCGGAAAACCACCACGGTTCTGGGAGGAAGGAAGCCCAGGGGCAGACCCATGGACCCGAGAGGGCACTACGCAGGAGTCCTTCCAGGAGGGGCAGGGACCGTGCAGCGTCCCCTCTCTCCAGGAGCAGTTTCCTTCTGGGACTGGACTGCTTGGCTCCTCTTGTACTGCCCACCTCTTATCCCAGATGCACAGACATGGCCCCCGGCCAGACACCTGTGCCCTCGCCACCATGGGACACAGCCCAGCAGCTGCTCCAGGGCCTCTGTGGATCCAGTGGGGAGCGATTTTCCTCCAGCTTCTGTTCCCAGCCATGTCTGTCTGTCTGTCTGTCTCCCTCTCACATCCTGTGCCTGCTGCATCCCCATTCCCTTGGTGGGGGACATTGCTGTCTGGGCTATTCTCCTGTTCCCTATGGCTTCCCATACAGAGGCCTAGGAGGGCTCCTCTGGCCTTAAAAAGGGCACAAACCTGGTCTCCCTTTGCCATATGCCCCACTCTGCTGGACCGGAAGTAGGTGGAGTGGCCAATGGAGGAGAAGTGCTCAGCCCCCAGGTTGCTCCAACCAAACTCCTTCCTCAGGTGGGGCTCGTACCCACGTCTCTTGCCTCCTCGCTTCATCTGATTTGCACTTGGTTGGGTACAGGAAGGAAGGCTGGAGTTGGAGCCCCTGTCCCCTGGTCGGAGGTCCTGCACACCTGGCCTTCACCCTGGGATCTGAGTGTCTCCTTCGGTGGTGGAGATGAAGTCACCTACTTCCCAGGTAAGGCCCAGGTTCCCTGAGCAGCCCTCTAAGGCAGGCCAGGGGCCCCCTCACCCCTCACCCATCCTGCCCACTTCCACTCTAGGCTGTTCCCTTCTTCCTCAGATGGGTGCTGACAAGGGCCAGTTCTGCCCGCTCCCGCCTTTCCCACCCCTCCCCAACCGGCAAGGTCCCTCTGCTCACAGACTAGACTGCCTCTGACCAGTTGTCGTTTGGCTCAGTGTTTCATCAGTTGCTGCTGCTACCAGTCCATCCTCTCCTTGGGGAAGGCAGGCTGGGGTGCAGCAGGCTGGAGTACCTACTGCCCAGCCCCAGCAGAGGAGAGGGAGAGGGTATTGTCCATAAAGGCTGTAGGGGCCACTTTCCCCATTGTTCTTGTCTGGGAGATTTGTCCCAGCCTAGGACTCCCCCCTCTGGTTTCCTATTTTCAGTTACTTGAGTAAAAAAATATCCTTTTATTAAAAAAAAAAAAAATCCAACTTTAATTGTGGTAGCAAACTACTCACGAAAAGATGTCCGAGTCCGAATCCTTGGAATCTGTTAGAATGTTGCCTAACTTTGGAAGGTTGCAGATGGAACTAGTCAACTGCCCTTAAAATAGGGACACTGTCCTGGATTATCCAAATGGCATGAATGTGAACACCGGTGAGTGGAAGTGGAAGGCAGAAGGAGAGTCACTGTCAGGGTGACAGAATGTGAGACTGGTCAGTGGGTCCTTGCTGGCTTTGAGGAAGAGCAAGGCCCCTGAGAAGCTGGAGAGGACAAGGACCCGGATTTTCTTGTAGCGCCCCCAGGAATGCAGCCTCACCAGCACCTTGACTTTAGCTCCTCCAGATCCGTGTCAGACCTGTAACTTTGTAAGATACTACATGGACACCAGTTGAAGGTGACAGGTTTGCAGGCATGGTTACACCAGGTATGGGACTCTGATAAAACAGCACTCCATCACAGAAACAGACTTAAGTAAAATCATGGTCATTTCAATAGAGGCAGAGAAAGCATTTGGCAAAAATTTTGGCATCTACTCATGATAAAAAACTTTTGAGAATTAAAAAGGACCTTGTCAACCTGTGAAAGGCACAAAGAATATAGTGAACCACACGTTTAATTATAAAAAACGTATTTCCTTTTCATTGTTCAACAGTGTACAAGACTTGGTAACTGCCATCATTGTTTTAAGCAAGAATACTCCGTGGGTGACACACCAGTGAGTATAAGGAACAGAACACTTGGGCTTAAAATATCTTCCTATAGGATACTTACTACAAATGGAAATAGTAACTTCAGAAAACTTAAAGTGATCCAAGCTGTCATGACTAATGGGATACAGCAACACCATGTACTTCCTGATAGGAAGATATGGCATCACTTCTGCGCTATTTCTACCAAAAATACAAAGCATGGATTTAATCATAGCTCTATGATGTGTTTTTTAAAATATGATTTCCAGCCTGTCCTGTATTTTTTACATTTGTATAACCTTTATTAAAATATAATTTTTGTTAATCTCTTACCATTTTTATTTCCCCCCTTTTTGTTGGTGCGTTACAATTGTACGTACTGATTTGTTGTTCCATGTTCTTCCCTGCATGCAATGCCAACAATATAATAAGGCTAATACCACTTCTCATCACTTTTGTCCCATCTATTCTCCTTGTGGGAACAACTATGTCCAGCAAATTTCTAGAAATAAAAAAAATGAGAGATTCCCTCTTTATATTCTACATTTCCTATCTTTTCATTTCA